TGTTTATAACAGAAAAACGTTGTAACGAGGAGAGATTCATTTTGGTGTTCTAAAAGTTGTAGAAATAATACAAAAAATTGGAGATCATTAATTAAAAGCGATCAACCATGTTTGGTGTGCAAAGAAGAAGATGCTGTTTACGGTAATGACTTTTGCGGTGAGAAATGTGAAAAGTTGGTACGATATAATGGTATGTATGTTGCGAGCATAAAAGTAAACAAAGGCAGGTTTGGCTTCAATCAACTTACAGCTTATTCTTTATGATTAGTTCCATGTATATATCGACTCTCGGATCAAAGTAATAAATTCAAAGACATTTCTCGACAGTTCACTGATTCATGGAACCACAAATTCATAAAGACTCCTTCAGTACATGCAATATACAAAATATTTCCTAGTCAAGAGGTTATTAACAATTATAAGGCGTATCGTGAATACGTTGAATCCAAAAGAAGATGCGAAGGTAGACTCTTTCCAAAGGGCGATGGACGACGATTGATGACGAAGGGAAATGAGCAAAGGAGGTTCCATGGAACAAGAATGTATGTACCTTCCCTTACATTCGTGAGACTTAAAAGGATTAAGTGCAAATGATTAACTCAAGGAATATTTAAAGGAATTGTCTGTTAGGAATCACGACAGACATTATATGTTCTGATCTTAATTGTGCAGTATGCGGTATAATCACGAATGGATATAAACTCTGTTACGTAGGTGAAACTTTTTCATCCGGACGTTTCGGTCCTGGAATCTATTTCTCAGGCGCTTCATCGAAATCTAATTCCTTTAGCAAAGATACAAAACGTTATAATTCAAAAAGTTACAAAGTGATGTTTTTAAATAAAGTGGTGGCTGGAAGAGTGTACGAAATGTTAAAGGAGAATAAAGATCTGAAGGGCCCGCCTCCTAATTATGATAGTGTTGTTGGTGAACCAAACAAAGAGGGAAAACTCCCTGCCGATGAATTGGTGGTCTATCGGGAGGAGGCATGCCTTCCGCAGTACTTGATTGTTTATGAAAAG